TTGGTACATGTTGGTAATTCTCACCCAATGTAAACCCACCAAGACAAGCTCTTAAATTATCCAGAGACTGGAAACATCTGATACTGACAGCTTGATAGCATGCAGAATTTTTAGAATGCATTTAAAGCCCAATTCCAAGGAAGCCTACCCCACCACCATCCTTGTGTGCTGTACATATAGTTGTGGTCTTCTTCCTTTGGCAATGGGTGGTCTTGAGTGCTTCAGAGAATGGCAGTCATATAGTCATGTGTATTCCATTCTCTGCAGAATCCTCCTGTGAGCCCAGGCTGATGTGCTGACCCACCCCAGGGCAATGTTCGTGATACTCTGGCCTCACAGGAAGTGGCTTAAGTGATGCTGCATGTCATTCAACCTGGAAAAGGACCAGGGATGGATGACAGAGCAGAGTAAAGTTGGGTATACATACATATATTTTCCTCACCCAACCTGCGGGCTGAATGAAGAAAATATAACAGATTACCCCATCAAGCTTATGGGTGTTGATCGAGGAATCTCCCGCTGTATCTAATGTATTCTGACAGCAGCCGCCGGCCGCTGTCAGTATACCTGAACGGAGATTGGAGCTGATTGGCTACAAGCTCTGTTCGGCCAAGAATTTTCCAATCTGCACCTTTGATCTGCCGATCAAGGGATGCCGGCCAAAATTTGTATTGTGTATACCTGACTTAACTGTTGGGCACAGCGGTGGAGAGAACGGGAGTGTGGCAGCAAAAGTTGATTTTCTTTTTTTTCTACTAAACCTGGGTTATGTTTTTTGTTTTTTTTTTTCACTGGATTTGTGTTTTATAATTAAACAAATACATAACTGGACTAAAGAGTTTTTAATATATTTCCTTATATGTGTGTGTATTTATAGGTACATAATGCATGTGGTACTTACAGTAACTTTCACAGTTTCATCATTTAAGCTTAGTTTGAGTTGTGTGTGTGTTTATGTATTACCAGATGTTATATTTATTCATGAATGTTTGATAAAGTTGGTTGAAATATTGTGGGAAGAAAAAGATTGCGGATACTGTCTTTTAATTATGTTGCATCTCTGCTTTTATACAAATTTTATGGTTTAGGGTGACTTTAGTGAACTTTGAAGTTTGTACTGTTTTATTGGTGTGCGTGAAAGATATAAGCCACCTGGGGTAGAGCACGTACGCATTTCCATTAAGTCAAAAAGGTAATAATTTAGTGGTGAATGATGAAGAAATGTAGAATGATTCCATGTGATTTTCAGTATAGTACGCTTTATATTGCAACAAAATATCAGCTTGTAAGTAGTTGAAATAGTATTAAACTCTCAAACTTTTTATCAGTAATGAATCCAGATCAAACAAATATATATTGCCCATCAAAGTATTTATTTAAATATTTGACAATGCAATTTACAGTCATCATGTTTCCAAACAGCACCAACTCTTTCAGCTCAGCTTCCCTGAACTTCCTTTCCAGTACAATATAACAATAACGCTGAATCCCCAATATCCTAAGATCTTAACTACTTGAGCTTGGACCTTTGAAATTAGAAATGGCTATGTGTAATTGGCATATGCTCTTAACAGTGGATGTCTTCACCAGTTTTATATACCAGATGTAGGAAGATCTTTATTGAAAGATTCATTGGTTCATGGTGGATTAGGTTGCCTAAGCTGGCTGTGTAGTACAAGTTTATTTCCTGCAGTCCTTATAGGGATGGCAATGCTTCTTTTATATGATGGCATACTGACAAATCTTTTCATATATTCCAAGGAAGTAGATTTATTTCTATGAATTTCTGCAAATTGGAACTACAAATTCCACTGTTGATTACAAGCATGTACTGGACATGACTGTGTACTGTCACAGTATATGGAACCTGTATAGTGGTAGCTTTGTTGAGTCTATATATGAAATGTTTACATGTTGTTTTTATTTATGTT